AGCTGCAGCAGCCGCAGCCGCTGCAGCGGCTGCAGCCGCCACAACAGCTGCAGCAGCAGCAGCAGCAACTGCAGCAGCATTTGCAACAGCAGCAGCAGTTGCAGCAGCAGCTGCAGCAGCAGCAGCCTTGGCCGCAGCGTTAACGAGGGGCCTTCTAAAGAGGGGGGTCCCTCTAAAGGTGGAGTTGTTGCTTGGGGGGCCCCTCTAAGCCCCTAAGCTTTGTTTAAAGACTAATAGATAGCTAGCTAGCTGGCTAGCTAGCTAGCTAGCTGGCCAGCTAGCTAGCTAGCTATCTATCTGGTTGACTAGCTGGCTGCCCGACCAACTGGAAAACCGCCTAGCTAATTAAATAGCTAGCTAGCTAGCTAGCTAGCTAGCTAGCTAGCTAGCTAGCGTGGCGCTTGTCTAGGTAGTTCGCTGGCCTTTTGGCCCAGGCAGTGGGTAGCTAGCTAGCTAGCTAGCTAGCTAGCTAGCCAGGAATTTCCAGTGGCTTGCGAGCTAGCTTCCTCAGTAGCTAGCTCGGCTGTCCAGATAGCTAGCTAGCCAGCTGGCCAGCCCGTAAACAAATTAGCTAGCAAGCCAACTAGCTAGCCAACCAGCTAGCTAGCTCGCTAGCTAGCTAACTAGCCAGCTAGCTAAGTGGCTAGTTATCTAGCTAGCTAGCTAACTAGCCAGCTAGCTGGCCAACTAGCTAGCTACTTGAGATCGCTGCGCATGCTAGGCCGAGTGCCTTCAAGGCTGGGGTTGAAGGCAACTAATTAAATAATTAAATTAAATTAATTAATTAATTAATTATTAATTTAATTAGTTAGACTAAGTAATCAATCAGGTAGTTAATCAATTAATAATCTAATTAATTAATTAGTCTTAATTAATTAACCAGTTAACTTGTTAATTAATTAACCAGCTGGCTAGTTCCGATCTGGGGCTGCATGCAAACGCATGCAGCCCCATTTAATAAAAAGACTTGTTTTTATCAAAAAGCAGTTTTGGGAAATTGCTGAAGAGGCTTTTTCAGGTGTACGTACACCTCAGCAGCGCAGAGAGGCTTCTTCAGGTGTACGTACACCTCAGCAGCTGGGGAGAGTTTTCGGGACTTCTTGATTTTAAAAGAAGTTCCAATTTAAGGACTTAAGTGGTTTTGGATTGCCATTTGTTGGCTTTGTCTTGTTCTAATAACAGTAATAGTTATGAAGTAACAAACTAATAATAGTAATGATAATAATAATAATAATATTACTGAATAACACTAATAATAATAATACCAATACTAATACTAATAATTCTAATAATAATAATAATGATAATAATAATAATAATAATAATGACAAATGGCAATAATACTTTTTTTCTTTCTGCACTTTTGGCTCTTTGTGTGGGGCTTGAGGTGTACAGACACCTCAGAGAGTGGGAAACAAATTAAAAATTCTTTTTCACCTTTTGAAATTTAAGAAAACAAAAACGGCAAACTGGGAGGCTGAGCCGCCGCAAACCTGTCTACAACCTAGGGTTTAGGGTTTAGGGTTTAGGGTTTAGAGGGTGACCCATGAGCTGCTGCCGCTGCGCTCTGTAGGCGCTTCTGCTTCTCTCTCCTTGAGAGCCCTCTTCGAGCCTGAAAACAAATAAATAAATAAATAATTTATTTATTTATTTATTTGTTTATTTATTTATTTGTTTATATTTAATGTTAATAACTGCATTATTCAGCCTTTGGGCGTTGGCTCTGGTGGCCCGCCGGCCAAACAAAGAACTGGAACTGCACTGCTGCTGCTTCTGCTGCTGCTGCTGCTGCTGCTGCTCTGTCTGCTGCTGCTGCTCTGTCTGCTGCTGCTGTGGCTGCTGCAGCGTGCATTATCGCTTCGCGCAGCAGGCGCGTCCTAGCGCCTTTCGAGCACAGGGGTAGGGTTTAGGGTTTAGGGTTTGAGATTACGTACAGAAAGAATGCAACCAAACAAGAATCCCTACAATAACTGCAATGAATAAAATTAAACCAAAGACAAATGCGGGGCCCCACCCAGCTGAAATCCCATAGGCTTCTTGGGGGCCCCTCTCTTCCCGGGGCCCCCCTTTAGGGGGGCCCCCAGGGGTCTTGGGGACACCCCCTGGGGGGCCCCCTTGAGACACCTGTGGCTTTCCCTGCTGCCCCGGCTCGCGCCGGTGCTGCTGCTGCTGCTGCTGCTGCTGCTGCTGCGCTTGTTGCTGCTGCTGCGAGTGCCTGCTGCTGTTGGGGAAGTCTGCTGCAGCGGGGAGCCCCCCTGCTGGTGCGCCTGGGGGGCCCCCCTCGGGGTGCATACTCTCGTGGGGGCCCTCATCGGGGGGGCCCCCCAGGCCGCTGAGAGGCCCCCAGGGAGCCCCCTCGCTGCTGCCCCAAAAGATATCTTCTTCTTCATTAGCAGCAGAGGCCCCCTCTTCTTCTTCAGACCCTTTGAGGAAAAAAACAGGAGAGGGGGCCCCCTCAGTTTCTGCACTATCTCCCGAAGCATCAAGGGCCCCCGGGGGGCCCCCCAACCCTAAATCCCATTGAGGGCCCCCAAACTGTTTAGTACCCTCTTCGGGCTCTTCTCCGAGCCCACTGGAGGGGCCCCACGGGAGGCTGGGGGCCCCTGGGTCTTCCGGGGAGCTTGGGGGGGCCCCGAGGGGGCCCCCTCGGGGGCCCCCCAGGGGGCCCCCCAGCGGGCCTTCCAGGGGGCCCCCCAGGGGGGTCCCCCCGGCCCCCAGGAGGCCCCTCGCGACCCGCAGGGGGCCCCCCACTGCCCGCAGGGAGGCCTCCAGGGAGGCCCGCTGGGGGGCCCCCCAGGGGGGCCCCTGGGGGCCCC